TTGGCATGAATGACCTCTGTGGACCCTGGTGGGGAGGGAGGAGGAAGGTACTGTCTGTTCTTCCAGGGCGGCCCAGACCTTGAGGGAGCCACAATAAACGCTGTGCTGGTTTGATAAAGCACTTGGCTTGTGGTCCCTAGCGGGAAGAAGAGGAAGAACAGGTGTGGCCAGACCAGGGTGCCCTGCGGCACCCAGCCCCCCGGGGCCTCTAGGGCTGTGGAGTTTGAAGAAGTCCGGGGAGCTTCTCATGACCCCTGCCAACTTCCGCAGGTCCCCAGGCTCCTGCCAGGCCCTGGTGGGTTGAGTATGCATTAATGATATGCTCGCTCGCATTTCTTGAGCTCCTCCAGGGACCGACATCCGTGTCTGGGGTTTCTTAGGCTGTCAGCCCACAAACGTTTTCCTGGCCCTCCTGCCTGGGCCGGGCTGGCCCGGGGCCAGGTGTTACAGACCGAGAGACGCTTAGGACAGGGGGCCATGATCTTAGGAGATGTGTCAAGAAATGAAGCAACAGTGGTACAGTGTCTTAGTGTGTGCTATAGTGGGGTGAGAACAGGCCAGGTGGGCGCCCAGGGAAGGGTGCCTGAGTTCAGCCTAGTGCAGGGCGGAGTGGGTGGGTGGGTGCGTGGTCAAGAAGAAAAATGAGGGTGGAAAAAACAACAACCCCCCAAACAAAAACCACGTTAGAGAGGCCCCGAGGGATCATCTTGTCCGAGAGATGGGGATAAGGCGCCAAGGGGACCAGCAGGGAGTGGCTGAGTAAGCAGATTGTCAAGGCCAGGTCTCCTCCCCACAACCCAGAACCCCCTCTACCTCAACACAGTTCACTTCTGCAGGTGGTAGAATACCTTCCCGGGCCCCCTCCCCCAGAGTCCCGCCACTTGGGGGCTGCAACTGTGGGTTCTACCACCTCTGCTCAGGCCCTAGACCCCGGACAGATCCTGAAGCCAGGCAAGAAGGTGTCTGGGGCGGGGATGGGGGTGTAGGGTGCAGTAAGATACCCACCCACCCCCTCCTTTATTCCAGAGGCCCCAGGGAAGTCAGGCTTGGAGAGACGCCAGAAATGGGAGAGTCAGCAGCCCCCAGCCCTGCTCGCCACCCTCACCCCCACCCCCACCCGCAGGAGTGGGCCTGCCTGCCTCTGCTGCATCCCTCTGGCTTGGAAAAGCTGGGCGAGAGACAGTGGACACGAGTCAGTGGGCAGCTCTGTAGAGGGTGGATGAGGAATGGTGTCCAGGCTGGTGGTAAATGAGTAGCCTGCTCCGACCTTCGCTGGGGCTTTATGGGACAGAGAGGCCACACTGCGCCCCTCAGCTCTGGCAGGGCCCAGCCTGACGCCCAGGCTCTGCTGGGCCAGACAGAGACCAGGAAGCACCGGGCAGCGGCAACTCCTTGGCCCCTGTCCTCTCAGTCCCCCTCCCCTCCCAGAACAGCCCAGCTCTGAGGGCTCTCACTCCTCTTCGACCCCTCCCTCACACCCCTTCCCTTCCCTCCATGGGTCACTGGCCCTGTACACAAAGGAGGCCTGGATAGGGTACTCCTTTCTCTGCCCCTCCCCCCAATAACCCCCTCACTGTGGCCGCCCCTCCCACCTCCTCCTGCTCTTGGGAACCCATCTCCCCAACTGCAAGTTCAACTTTGCACCTCCTGTCCCATTTCCCAGCAGGGGGGTTCTCGAAGGAAACCATGATAGAGAGGCCAGGGCGGGGAGAGGGCGTGGCGTGGGAGCGTAACCCAAGAAGCAGGACTTTTCCTGGAACCTTCCCTGGAATGACCTAAATTGGGTGCAGTGGCCATTCAGAGTCACCTATTTCCTCTTCCTGGGGACCGTTGGGTGACTCCATGCCAGCCAGTGTGCCTTATGGAGAAAGAGAAAGAGGCTCCTGCTAGGGTGACCCTGGGTGACGTCCTACGGGGACATCTGGCCACCACCAGGACCTTTCTTGAGCTTGGGAGGAGAGGGTGAGGTGGCAAGCATGGCCGGGACTTAGAAACAATTCCGAGTCTTGCCAACCCACAAACGCCTGCCCTGTGACCCGCGCCTGCGCTCAGGAGGCCGGCCTTGTCCCCGCAGTGCCTTTGTTTAGTTTTGATTCTTGCCGTGACCCTTACCTGGGCCTACTCGTTTTCTGTTGACGTTTGATTAATTTGGTCGTGGTTGACACTGCCCACGGCAAAACACACACCAGACCTGCAGTTTCAACCCGACCAGTTAGTGACATGCTGGCAGTCTTTGACCTGTGCCCCCCTTTCTCACCCTGCTTTTCCACGTTGTCCCTGACTCAGTCCCAGCCACTCGGTGCCCCAGAATCCTGTCTAATCTTACAAGTTGCTGTGAACTATTTGATCCCTTGTAGATGGCTTTGAAGAGTGCATAATGTTTAAAGCAGACATTAAAAAATTTATCAGTCAAGCTAAATTATTGTTTGGTTTTAAGAAGACTTCTGGATATATATATATATTTCTGGAATATATATAGTATATTATAATATTATATATAATATATATACACACACACATATATAATCAGGACTATAGTTTCAGGGGGTTTCATCTACCTTCCATGCCTCTGGAAAGTCTAGAGTTCACGCAAATTTGAAATTCTGTTCTGCATTTTCTTCCTTTTGATCAGGATTCTGCTAAGGAAGCCTTCATCAAAATGTTCAGTCAAAGCTCCCCCACCCCACCAAGCCCCCCATTTCCCTCCCATGAGATTCCCTCTTATCTCGCCTCCAAGTGAGAAGAAAGCTCCATCCAGTTCTTCTGGTCTTGTGGCAAAGGAGGCCTTTGTTGCTGAAGGCAGTTAGCCACACTTTCCATAGTCTCCTCCCCGCCTGGGCTCTCCTTCCACTGTTGTCCCAGGTGAGAATAGAAACCAATTGTTTAAAAAAAAAAGAAAGAAAAAGAAAAAGGACCCAATTGTTGTGCCTTGGATGGCTACTTGCAAGTTTTAAAGATCCCAAGCACTACGAAATAAACTAAGGCCGAACACATTACTGGGCCAATTAACTGGGGTGTCCCGTGGAAGTATGACCCCAAACCTCCAAGCCAAGGGACCAAATCCCCCAGAAACTTTGTTTTGGGAGGGTCATTGTTGTCAATATATGTACCGCACAACTTTCACCAATTCAACTTTTTACAGGTGTACAATTTATTTCTAATGGCATTTTTTTGGTGTACAATTTATTGACTCACTGAAAACCCCCCCAAAATAAAACCAACTCACTGCCAATAGTGACCTGATAGGACAGGGGTAGAACTGCCCCTGTGGGTTTCCAAGATTATAGCTGTCACGGGAGTCGAAAGGCCCGTCTTTCTCCCTCAGAGCGGCTGGTGGTTGTGAACTGCTGACCTTGTGGATGGGAGCCCAACGTGTAACCATAACCCCACCAGGGCTCCTGTTAATGTATTGACACCAATGGTAATAATGGCCTGCCCTTATCCATGCCATCGATATCCATTTCCCGAAAACATCTTGGGTGCACAGGTTATGTGCTCTTATTGACCTAATCCCCACTCACTTCCTGTCCGCTTCTCAGGCTAAGGCCATCAATGACCACCTCAAGCCTCTTAATCCCACGGCCACTCTTCAGGCCTCCTCTTCCTTCACCTCTCCTGTAGCCCTGGACACTGCTGCCCACCCACCCCCTCCTGCACACCCCTCTTTGCCTTGCCCTCTCTGTTTTGGCTTCTAGTGCCCTCCTCCACTCCCCTGGTTTCCGTTGCTCGGTCGCCTGCTGTCTGTTCCCCAGGGTTATCATCGCCCCTGACTCTCAGATCTCTTACATAAGCCCTCCCATTTCCGGGTCAAGAGCCATGGTGGCATCGTGGGTCATGTGCTGTGCTGTTATGAATCAGAACGGACCCCATGGGAGTGAGAGCTCTGAGTCATTCCCGGCCCCGGGTGCCCCAAAGGGCTTGTCCAGCTCTGTCTGTCCCAAAGGAACCCATCGTCTTCTCCACCCACCCGGGGTCCCCTGCGTTCCCTGATTCGGTCAGGGGCATCCTTACCCTGACAGTGACCTGAGGCAGAAAACTCAGTTTGACCCTGGATTCTTCCGCAGCTGGCTCCCCACCCTGCCTGGCTCAGTTCCTCAGCAGCCCCCAGCAGGCCCTCTCCTGCCTGGTTTCTGGCCACATGTCCATTGCTAGGCCCCGCTGGCTGGTTGGTGACCCTCGGTGTACCCCAGCTCCAGGAGAGGCTGTGTAAACATGACCAGGTACTTCTCTCCGGTGAGTCCCACCACAGCCTGAGCTAGAGTTCCTTGGGTCTCCCTGCCACTTTCGCTCTCCCTCTGGGATCCAGCCACCCGGAACTCTTACCCCCTGAGCACAGCTGAGCCGTGGCTCAGGCCCCTTTCTGCACAGCCACCCTTCTGGAGTCTTCTCCAACACCCAAGGACTCCCACTGGTCACCTCCTGCACAGAGCATCACACCCTACTTTGCGCCCCCAGCCCCCACCTCTTCTCTTTGCTTCCTGAGCGTCCCTCTCCCCTCTCCCCAAGGTGATCCGAGTCTGCCCAGCGCCATCTTGGGCGGTGAGTTCCACAACACAATGGCTCTTTCTGTGTGTGTGTGTGTTTACGGAGCCTGAAATTACAGTATTGGATGTGCTCCTGGGTATGCAGCTGCATTCTGGGAGAGAGATCGTTTTGATTGATCTGTGTTCCCATCGCTGCCACCCCAAGTGCTACCTCCTTAAGCAGTGGGTTCCTGACCCTGCCTCCCCCCACCTCCCTATGAGACAGCCTGCTTGAAGCGACCCCAGTCTGTCTGTGGGTCTGTCTATCTACTGCCCACTTTGGCTGTCAGGGCCCGGGGCCTCGGCGAGTCGCCAAGAGGCTTCTCCGAGGTCCGTTTACAACCGCACGGTTTCGATGCCTGTCCCCCGCCTACGGCTGGAGAGTCGTTGGAATGTGCGGCCCTGGGGGACACGCCGGGGACGCCCGCTCCACAGGGAGGTTGGACTCTTCGATTCTCAGGACAAGGAGGCGCTGGCCAAGTGCAAAACAAAAGGCTTTTATTGAAAAATATCAAGTAGCCCGGCTCAAGGTTGCCGATCCCAGACAGTCTGGGTGGTCACAGACTTCAGGGGCTCGGCTCCAGGGGTTGCGCAAGCAGCTGCGGTCCTCTCCCCAGCACCGTGTCCTACGGGGGCGAGGATTCCATGTCCGTGTGGGTTGGTTCCTTGGCCCCCAAATTCCACTCCTCGGGCGGCGGGCGGGTGTCGGCTAGGGACGCGGGATGTCCGGCCGGGCCCTTCCAGTCCGCAGGGGGCTGCCTAGCCTCCGGGGGCGGGGCGGTGGTCGGGGTCTGGCCGCAGCCCGGACTGGGTGGGCGCCTCCCCGTCAGACGTAGTCCTTGCGGTCGTAGAGGGTGCCGGTCGTGGTGGCGGGCCCGGTGGAGCGCGGCGCCGAGTAGAGGATCTTGGTGGGCGCGTACTTCTTGTCGCGCGGGGGACAGGTGCAGCAGAGAAGCGCGCCCCCCAGCAGCTGCAGCGCCGCTGCCGCCCAACCCACGTACAGGCCGGCGCCCATCTCGCGCTTCTGCGCCTCGGGCACCAAGGGGTTGTAAAAGTCCCGGATGATGGTGTTGGCCGACCAGGACACGGGCACGAGGGTGAGCAGGGCGGCCAGCAGGAAGAGCACGCCGGCCACGATGGTGATCTTGGCCTTGGCCGTGTCGTCCTGCACGCAGTTGGTGCACTGGGCGCCCACGAGCGCGACCAGGAGCCCGAAGGCGGCGAGCAGGATGGCGACGACGAGGAGCGCGCGCGCGGCCTGCAGGTCCTGCGGCAGCGCCAGCAGCGAGTCGTACATCTTGCACTGCATCTGCCCGGTGCTCTGGACCACGCAGTTCATCCACAGGCCCTCCCAGGTGATCTGCGCCGTGATGATGCTGTTGCCGATGAAGGCCGACACGCGCCACATGGGCAGCGCGCAGCACACGATGGTGCCCAGCCAGCCCAGCACGGCCAGCGCCGTGCCGGTGATCTCCAGGCCCATGGACATGGCTGCGGCGCCAAAGCCGGGTCCTCCGGGCGGCTCCGCGGGGCCGGACAACCAGGGGCCGCGGCCGGGACGGCGGCGGCGGCGGGCCGGCGGGCGGACGAGCGGACAGACGGGCGGACGGGCTCCCGGAGGGCGCGCGCTAACGGCTCGGCTCTGCACGCGGGCGCCGCGGCCGGGCGGGCACCTGTCGGTGGCTCTGGCTCTGTGGGCGGGCGGCGGCGACTGGGCTGGCCGCGCACTGGGGCCGGGGCGTCTTAGCTCGGTGCCCAGCGCTCGCCGGGGGCGGGAGGGGAGGGGCGGGGCCGCGCTGCCGAGCTGGGGACAGTGACGTGGCTCCCACCCTCTTCACCTGCCCGGGAGTGGCGCACGGCGCGGGGGTGGGGGTGGGGGGTGTTCGCTGGAGGGTGGGGCCTTAACTCTCCGCCCCTTGTCCGCATCCCCGCTGCCCGGGAAGCTTCAGGGATTTGAGGGTGCATTCCACAAATGGCTGACCCTCCCCCATGTGTGGCCCCGTTGGCACGGGCGGTTGGGGGTGCTGCCAGTTTCCCGGGGACTCGGCACGGACAGGGCCCCAAGTGGGCGTGGCTGCGCTGTTTTTCTGAGTTGGCGCCCGCCGGGAGCTGCGCACCTGCTCCAGGGTCCCAGGGCCTCGCTCGCAGCGTCAGCAAAGCAGCCTGATGCAGGCCCGGCCCTGGAGGTTCTGGGCGCCCAAGTCAGGGGCCGCCTGCAAAGACGCCCCGAGAACGCCAGAGGCCAGGGGATCTCCCCCTCCAGCTCGCTCCAGCCTCGCTGTTCACTCAATCTTTGTCCTGAGCTGGACGAAACCCTTCAGCTCCGCCCCCAGGTCCCCTCTCCCACCCCACCCCCAGAGACCCTCTCCTTATAGCCTGCGTCCGCCCTCCCTCTGACCCCCAGTCCGTGCCAGCGCCCACCCCAAGGAAGGGTTGACGAAAGAGTTTCCCTCCTGGTAAGCGGGCGAAGTCACCCTCACCATACCTTCAAGGCCATTGTTCCCAGCCCTGGATTGGCCCTCCCCCTGTGCTCAGCCCCCTGGCTCTCCAGTCCCCAAGGCCTTGGGGTTTCTGGTAGGGGCTGACCCTCTCCCTTCACCCCTCCCACCCTGAAATTTTCTCCCTTTGCCTCTCTTGTCTTCCCCCTCACTCCAATGCTGGGGCCTCCAATGTCCAACCCCCACCTCAGGGCCCCTTTCTCCCCCCAGGACACCCATGAGGCCAATTCCTCCTCCCTCCCCTGCAGCGTTTTCTCTCAGGTAGGCCTTTCCTGCCCATCCTGTTTAAGATCAACCCCAAAGGCCTTCTTTTTCCTGTTTGGTACTTGATGTTCCTTTAACATTTATCACTTTTTAATATACTCTGTTTTTCGTTCCTTATTTACTTTTTATTGTCACTCTCCTTGTTCTGGAATGTCAGCCCCTCAAGGGCAGGGACTTTGTTGGTTTTATTCACTGCCATGCCCCCAATGCCTCTTGCAGGCTGAGAACTCAAGAAGTATGTGATTTAGAGACTTGACTGACAAAAAGGCAGTCAATTCTCACATTTGGGCCACCCTGCCTTCCTGCACTGAATGGTGTGTGTGTGTGTGTGTGTGTACCCAGAGTTTTCTCTGGGCTGCACCCCACCTCTCAAACCACAGATATGAAACCTGTTTTCACAAGTGCCTGAACCAAGTATAAGGTCCACAGGCCAGAGGCCATGGAAACCAGGATCTTCCTTCTCTCAGGGACAAAGGTTTTGTGTAGGGCCTGATGGGGCTGGGCCGGGCTGGGGAGGATGGGGAGTGCCCGGCCAGAGGGCCCCAGCTGGCACTGGGTGGGGGTTACCCCAGAAGTTTCGGTAACCCAGGTCTGCTGGCTACTTGTTACCTGGTCAAGAGGGGTGGCTTTGGGTTAACAAAGAGGGACATTCCCACAAGGTGTGCCTAGACTCAGGTCTAGAGGCTGAAGTCAGAGAAGGGGCCCCACTGGGTTATGCCTGGCTTGGGTGCTGTAAGTTCTGTCTGTGTCTCTGCCTAGCTTCAACCCCGGGGAAAGTCACCTCTCTACACCGTCCTTTCCACCACTGTACAACGAGAAACACAGTGTGTGTGAGAGCCACCTCCAGCACTGTGGTCAGAATGGAGGTGACAGTAACCAGAAGACAGCAGGGCAGGCCGTACAACCTGCAGAGAGATTGTGTAGAGCGAAAGAATGAGGTTGGATAGGGGGTTCGATAAATAGACAGACAGAGCTCCACTCTCAGCTTCATCATCCATGAAAGGCGGGTGGGAGTGGGGAGCTTGGGTTTTGAAGCAAGCTGGCTTGCTCCAGAGCCTGGAGACTTGCTGGGAGACCAGTGCAAAAGTGGCAAACTGGACTGAGAGCTTTGTGCCCTGGGACCACTAGGTAGCACAAATGATTAAGTCTTGGACTACTAACAGAAGGTTGGCAGTTCACACCCACTGGGAGGCACCTCAGACAGGTCTAGCACACGACTTCCAAAAAAAAATCACAGCCTTAAAAGACCTACAGTGCGGTTGGTTCTACTCTGCACATCAGGGTGATCCATGAGTCAGAATCGAGTTGATGGCAATGGATGCGGTTCCTCATTGGGCTGCTAACCTCGACGTCGATAGTTCGAAACCACCATCTGCTCCGCATGACCATGCTTTCTATTCCCATAAAGAATTAAGTTCTCAAAAAAATAAAAGTATTAAATTCTCGGATTTTAAATTAAATTCCCTGCCCTTTAGGGTTGCTGAAAGTCCGAATGGCCTCAGTAGCAGGGAGTCTGGTATTTTGTGCTGAACAACAAGCGTGCCTTTTCCCGATGGAGCTGACAGACCTGTGGCAGATCGTGAGCTCAAGGCCAACTAGAGAGAACTGTTTGCCATGGGCCCCGGGGAGCTCTCAGAATGCTGGAAGTTTGAATAGGTAGAAGATCGGAATTGATATTTCTTCCATCCAATTGGCCAGTCAACACAGGACAAGATGTCAACCGCCATCGGTCCCTGGGAGAAGGCAACTCAACACGCCCATGAAGTGCCACTTTGCCCCTAGCCACTCACAGCGACCCTACGGGATGGAACAGAACTGCTCCCTGGGCGTTCCCAAGAGCAGACATCCTTCTCTCATGGAGGGGCTGGTGGGCTCGAACCACTCCCCTTCTGGTTAGTCACCGAATCCCTACTCACTGCATCACCAGGGCTCCTCACCCCTGGGAATGACTCTTACCAGGAACGTGGAAACAGCACGTGTCGGTGAGGTTGTGGGTAAGTTAGAACCCCCCAAGTAGTTGGTCGGGGTGTAACGGAGTGCAGGTGCTTGGGAAACGCGTGTGACAGGTCCTCAAAACGCTGCACACAATTACCGAGCTGTTGTTCAGGGTCGTCAGGTGAGCCCCAACTCACAGCGAGCCCACACGCAAAATCGAGCACTGCTTGGTTGTATGGCATCCTGCCCATCGCTGCTGTGGCTCGGTCCACTGTCACAGCCACCGTGTCAGTCCTTCTCATTGAGGGCCTCCCCCCTTTTTGCTGACCTTCGACTTTACCAAGGCCGGCGTCCTTTTCCAGGGACTGGTCTCTCCTGAGAACACGCATAGGAGGCCATTGAAAATACCCTGGGTTGGGTCAGGCACACCTTAGCCTTCAGAGCGACATCTTTGTTCTTTAACACCGACCACTGTAAAGAGGTCTTTTGCAGCAGATTTGTCCAATGAGGCCCATCATTCCCTTCCTGGGCTGCTGTTTCCATGGGCATCGCACCGATGGTGGATCCAAGTGAAACGCAATCCTTGACAATTTCAACGTTTTCTTCGTGTATCACTTGTTGCTGATCGGTCCAGCTGTGAGGGCTTCTTCACGTTGCAGCGTAATCCTTACTGAAGTCTGGAGTTTCTTCAATAAGTGTTACGAGCCCTCTTTGCCCTCAGCAAGCAAGGCTGTGCCATCTACATACTGCAAAGAGTTGGCAAGTCTTCCTCTGATCTTGCCGCCCCATTCTTCTTCATATAACCCAGCTAACCAGATTATATGTGCTCGCCATACAGGCTGTATCCGAGTAAGTGCAGTGAAAGGATGCAGTGTCGGGACTCCCAGACAGCACACCTTTCCTGTTTTTTTGTTTTTTGTTTTTAATCATTTTATGGGGGACTCGTGCAACTCTTATCATAATCCATGCACACATCCATTGTGTTGAGCACATTTGCACATTTGTTGCCATCATCATTCTCAAAACATTTGCCTTCCACTTGAGTCCTTGGTATCAGCTCCTCATTTCTACCCCCTTCCCCACACTGCCCCCACAAGAACCCTTGATAACTTATAAATTATTATTATTTTTTCATGTCTTACACTGTCTGATGTCTCCCTTTACCCACTTTTCTGTTGTCCAACCCACAGAGAGGGGGTTATATGTAGATCCTGGTAATCAGTTCCCCCTTTCTCCCCCACCTTCCCCTTCCCCTCCTGGTATCTCTACTCTCATGATTGGATCTTTCCTGGTTTTAAACCGCTCAGCATCCCCTTGTTCTGCACTAACAACCGTCTCTTGGTCTATGTATAGGTTCTGCGTGAGCACAATCAAGGGTGTGGAGTTCCCATTCTCCACAATGTTGTCTATAACCTATGATCATCGACACTGTCAAATGCCTTTGCAAACTCCCAGGAACGAGGCAAACATCTTCCCGGAATTCCCTGCTTTCAGCTTGCCTGCTTCCTGCACCTTTAATGTTTTGCCAATAGAATCCTTCAGTATTGCATATTGAGGCTTGGCTTTTTCTCCCCTTCAGTTCTTTCTGCTTGAGAAGTGCTGGGTGTGTTCTCACTCCAGGTATTTACATATTCCATGACAACCCTTCTGTTCAGCTTTTCTACATTCGTCTTCTCTTTGCTGTATTACTCTACACAGCTCATCTCGCCTCCAGTCATTAGGGTTCTGTATATAAAATCTGTTCTAAATTAAATGGAGGAGCCCTGGTGGCGTAGTGGTTACTCTCTAGGCT